ATGCCACGTCTCTTCATCTCCACTTCCCAGGCTGTCAGGAGGTGGGGCACACATCCACATGTGCTCCCTTGTTTTTCAAGCAGCCAGGACTGGGATCTGAAGTGCAGTCAGCTATGTGAGGTCTGGCTCCCTTAACCACTAGCCATGGGGCTGGCCTTTGTTTTTTTAAAGTCTTTTTTCTTTCATGGAGAGAAAGACAAACAGGCACCCTCAGAAGGGTCTTCATGCCACAGTGCAACCCCCGGCCTCAGACAGCCAGGATCACAGGCAGGCATACCTGGGCATGTGCGGGGAGACCATGGAACTTGAACCTGGCACCCTCCCATGTGGCTTTGGCATCCCGAGCACTGCAATCCCACTGCACCTCTGGCTGGGCCAAACAAGTGTTGTTGTTGGCAGCTCAGTGTCTGTGGGTCTGACTTGAAGAGAAACGAGCCTTTTACTGTATCACCATGACCACATCTTTGGTTTTGAGTGGGGGCACTTCCGTTTTCATCTGGAGATTGACACGGCCCACCCAGACCCATTTGAAAGAGTTGGGACTGCTGCTGAAAAGGCAGGGCCAGAGGCCACCCAGACGAGATGAGGAGACTGGAGACTGAGTTGCAGGTTTGTCAGGAACAGGCCCATGATGGGAGCTGGAACATACACAAGTAGCCCCAACTGGGTCGTGGCTGGTGTCACTCCTCAGAAGAGATTGGTAAGGGCTGGATTTCGTTCCTGCCGGGAGTCTGTGATAAATTTCTAAACAGCGCTGAGTTAACTCTTATTACAACAGCTTGGTGGAAATCGGTGGCATCAGGAGGCATAAATGGCACAGCCCAAGAGGCAGAAATAGACTTAAGGCTAAATGACCACCATACATTCATCTTGGGAAAGTTCCTGCCTAAGTAAGGGAGAAACTTGGGACCACAGCTTACTTTTGAGCACTTCATATTTCAGCTAACACAGAATCGACAGTTTAGGAATCGACAAATGCCTATTTGTCAAGAGAGAAAATCAGAATTCTCTGGATTCTACTTGCAGGGGTTTCCGTAAGAATGTGACTGCTGCTCCGTCCGTTCCCGGGCTGTGCTTTAATCTGTCTCCTCTCTTATGTATGCTAATAGTTCAGAGACGCACTTGAAGCTGGAACAGCTTCTGTTCTCATCACTTTTGACCACTATGAGGCTTCTTAACAAAATACAGATACCAGTATTCCAGCCTGTGTTCCTGAGATGAGCCTGCTCCCCAGAGACTGTCTCACGGGGTCACCATGAGTACTAGGTTACTGGGCCTAATCGCAACAGGCATAAGACCATGGGGTAACACCTCATTTCAAGTTACTCACTCGTGAGCCAGATTAAGGACACCAAAGTAAAGGCTAGAGCTTTAAAACCCTTCAACTAGTGTTGTCCATAGTTACGTCAGAAGCAAATGTGGGGGCCAGCAGGTGACAACGTGGGTAAAGCACTGGAGTCCCACGTGGCCAACCAGAGTCCTAGACCCAGCAGCTTAAAAATCACACTGGACACGTGTATATATGCCCCAAATCCCAAGAGGAGAAGGGATTGCAGCGTGGCCATACCCTGGGGTAGGGGTAGGGGTGGGGTGGAGTGAGTTCTCACTTTCCCTCTCTCCAGCAAGCACACACATCCTATGACAAAAACCTAAAAATAATAATAATAAAAATTAAAAAGCAGCAGCACTGTTGTACCCCTCTCCTTTCTCTTCTCTGCCACTCTTACTGCCTGACAGCCGCACTAACACAGTGAACCCTCAGTGATTTCTCACATCCTAAAGTGAGAGTACAGTTCGGAACCTCTTTTCCTCTCTCTACTGCAATATCAAGGTCATCCAAAATTACTTTTTTTTTTTTTTGGTGGGGGGAGGTTTTTGCTATAGGGCACATACACTCACCAGAGAGAGACAGAGAGATAGAAAGCTAGAAATCACCCCCCAGGGGGAATGGCCATGCTGCAATCCCTTCTCCTCCATTATCCTCTAGGGATCTTGGGCACCCACACACAAGTGCCCAGTGTGAGCTTAAGGCACTGGGTCTGGGACTCGAACCATGGATGACTACATGCGAGTTCAGCAACATAGCCATTACGCTAACTGCTGGTCCCCAAAATTACCTTTTGATTCACCATCCTTATCTTCCCTTCCACCTTGTTTTGCCTTGGCAGTTCACAGCCTCCATTAGTGAATGACTTGTATGCATGGTCTTCAAAAAGTTCATAGAAATGTGTATTATCAAAAATTATGCATGCACTTCAAATTGTTCTTGCACCAAGATAAACTTTTTTTTTTTGGTCACAGGGCACATGCCTTGTCAGAGAAAGACGACAGGGTAAGGGGAGTGAGAAAGCACTCGCTCTGAGGAGGGATGGTCATGCTGCAGTTCCTTCTCTATTTTCCTCTCAGGATCTTGGGTACACATGTACATGTGGCTGGCATGTTTTTTAAGCTCCCAGGTCTGGTACTTTAACCAAGCCATCAGCCACATGGGATCCAGCCACATCACTGGATGGCCCAATGAACTCTTATTTTAATTCCACTCTGGCACATACTTTTTGAAGGTGCCTCATAATTCAAGGGATTCATACCAAATATAACCTGGTCCCATGTGTAGCAGTTAGATGCTATACAGAGAAAGCCGGATCCTACATGGCCGATCGGAGTTTGGCCTACTCCTAGCCCTGCTGGCTTGGAGACATGCTGGGCATATACATATGCCCATGATCCTGACAGGATGGAGAACTGGAGAGAAAGGCTCATTATGACCAGACCCTCTGGGAGGAGTGTTTGCTCTCTCTTTCTCTCTCTCTCTCTAATACACACATGCCCTCTGGCATTAAATCTTTTTTAATCCTACTTAATGGTTATCTCTCCCAATTTTAAACTTCATCACTTCCTTTCCTGTATTACTTCCTATATGATACTTCTTGTTCTTCTCTATGCATGTATGCAAATTATAAAGACAACACATCAAAGGACATTACGCTTCTGCCTTCCCTGGCTATGACTTATTAAGGGAGGAGACTATCTGACATTAATTTTATTAACTCTGATGCCTAGGACAGCATCTGGCACATTGTACGCTAGTGAGAATTAGCTATTCTTTTTTTTTTTTTCCCCTTAAGTTTACTATAGCTTTTGTCTTTTTTTTTCTTTTTGAGAATTATTTATTTAATTTATTTATTCATTCATTTATTTTAATTTGACCAGAGAGAGACAGAAAGAGAAAGTGAGAAAGCAAGGCACCATGTCTGGGACTCGAACTGTGGTTGGCCATATGGGAGTGTCCAGTGTCTTAACCACTATGCCACCTGCTGGTCCCCTACTATAGCTTTTTTCTAAACTCACCAGAAAGGGGAGTGGGAGGAGAGAGAGAGAGAGAGAGAGAGAGACAAAGTATGGGGTGGTCCAGCACCTTAACCACCATGCCACCTGCTGGCAACGGCCTCCCCCAGAACACTCCCCCAACTACATCCAAAGTTGTTATTTATCCTGCAAAAAATCATATAAATAGATAATATTAACATAGGTCTATTAAAACTGGGCTGGTCAAAATAATCCTTTTTTGCTCTGTGTCTGTTTAAGTACCTTCAGAAATCCAGAAGTCTTCACTCGGGAAGAAATTTCAAAAACTGTTCGTACAGCTCAAAACATGATGGTTAGGTCCCTTCTGCAAGGAAAGTTACGGCAGCGAGCCCCTGGGCCTGGTATAACAGCTGAGCTACACACACGCTTGTATATAAACGTCCTGCCCACTCCCCCAAGGACACAGAGTGGGGTGGGAGCCTTTCACACGTCTGTGCTTCCCTGTGCCACCCCTGCTTGCTGTGAGCTCAGTAGACAGGCAGTCTCGTTTCTGACAACAGTGGTAAGGTTGGCAGCGGACCTGCACTAGTGGATGACTAGCTATGACAAAACGTCCAAAAAAAAAGACATGTGCCAGTGAGAGGCAACACGAAGAGGAAGTCATTTTGTGGATCTATTATTACATGTCAGATTTGGGCCCTTGATACATAGCATCTAAGTCTTCCCAAAAACCCAGTGAGAGGGTCACAGTTGTTTCTACTTCCCTGGTAAGGGAACTAACTCGGAATAACCTGCCCAAGAACACACACAGTCGGTCGGCACTTGTACCCAGATTAGAAACTCACATTCTCAACTAGTATTCTATACTGCAGATGTTTTATATGTCTTAATTTTAAAGAAGAAATTTAAAAACTGATATTCAAGATGTTATATGCCCATGCCCATTAATCTTAAAACAACTATAAGGAAAAATATAAGGAAAAATTTTGAACTATATTTTTATAACTTTGCAGAGTAAAATGCAGAGAGTCACACTCTAGGGGCTGGCAGGTAGCATGATGATTTAGACGCTAATTCCCACATGACTGACCATGGTTCAAGTCCCAGACCTGGCGGCTTACTTTCCCATTTTTCCTCTCTCTCTCTCTGCCTGGTAAATTCAAAAAATTATAATAATAGAAACCAACAGATGGTGTAATAGTTATGTTACTAGACTCCCACATAGTTGACCAAGATTCAAGTCCCGGACTCAGTGGCTTAAAATTAATTTGAGGTGCATATGTCCAAAATCCCGAGAGAAGAATGGAGAAGGGACTGTGGCTTAGCTATCCCCCCCGGGGGGTGATTTCTCACTCTCTGTCTCTCTGGTGAGCATATGTGCCCTATAGCAAAAATCTCTCTCAAAATAATAATAATAAATTAATTATCCTGTAAAAAAAAAAAAAAAAAGGAGTTCATGCTCTGAATGAAGACAGTCCAGTCTCTACTTCGTATGAGTTTATATGGGTGTAGAGTTTCTCTCTAAACTTCATTTTTTTTTGCATTTGTGAAATAAAATATATTCTTTATAGGGTGAAAGTGACAATTAAATGATACATTTAAAACCCTTAATAGATACGTATTGAATAACAATGCCAGTAAGTTAATAGCAACCAAAGCTGACAGCAGAAACCTGCAAACAAAGCAGTACTCACAGAAGCCAGCAGTCGCCCATCCTCCTTCATGGCCAGGTAACGGTTTGCACACACTCCTTTGATAGACACGACCCCTCTCTCTTCCGCTTGAAGCTGTAGTTTGACTACAAGTAAGAGGGGAAAATTACCTTTTAGCACCAGAGAAAAGAGCCATCTCTACAACTTTCATGCAATAAAAAGACAAAAGACACCTGAGCAATAACCAACCCACTTTGAAGGACTGGTGAGGTCAGGAGGGCAGGGACTGGGACAGATGGCAGCTAAACTGTTAGGGCGAGAGACAGGTGCCTCATGATTCCCTTGTCACTCCTGTGTCACCCACTGAGCAGCAAAGAGGGACAGAGTGGATGACTGCTTTCTTTATAGGATAATTAGCCTTCACTTGGCCCTGTTAATAGTATGGGTTTTTGGGGGGTGTGTGTGGGGCGGGGGAGACCTTTTTGCTATAGGGCACGTGTGTTCGCTAGAAAGACAGAGACAGAGAGACAGAAAGCGAGAAATCATCCCCCGGGGAGATGGCCATGCCGTAATCCCTTCTCCTTCATTCTCCTCTCAGGATCTTGGGCGCACACGTACCCGGTGTGAGTTTAAGCCACCAGGTCTGTGACTCAAACCACAGTTGACTACATGGGAGTCCAGTGACATAGACATTACGCCAACTGCTGGTCCCAAGTGAACCTATCTTAAGGGGACATATAAAAGCAAACCATTTTGTGAGATCTTCCTTGTCACCTAAGTTTAAACTCTTTGAACGTCATTTTTAACCAATTCTTCACAAATAAAATACAATCTAATTGTTCACTATTAACTTTTCAGTTGTATTTCCTTGACTTACACATTTCTTATTTCTAGCTTCCCCTGCAATACAATTCCAATGCATTAACTTTTTTTACTGGAGGATTTTGATATATAGTTTTTCTGTTTTTGGCTAGTAGCTAGTGGAAAAACAAAACTGCTTGTACTTAATTTGATTTTACAGTGTGATGAAAGACCTTCAGCATGTAATATGGACAAATAATTATCTAATTAACTGGAGTTAAAATGAAGTTAAATATTTCTCTTTAAGACAGAGACAGAGAGACAGAAAGCGAGAAATCATCCCCCGGGGAGATGGCCATGCCGTAATCCCTTCTCCTTCATTCTCCTCTCAGGATCTTGGGCGCACACGTACCCGGTGTGAGTTTAAGCCACCAGGTCTGTGACTCAAACCACAGTTGACTACATGGGAGTCCAGTGACATAGACATTACGCCAACTGCTGGTCCCAAGTGAACCTATCTTAAGGGGACATATAAAAGCAAACCATTTTGTGAGATCTTCCTTGTCACCTAAGTTTAAACTCTTTGAACGTCATTTTTAACCAATTCTTCACAAATAAAATACAATCTAATTGTTCACTATTAACTTTTCAGTTGTATTTCCTTGACTTACACATTTCTTATTTCTAGCTTCCCCTGCAATACAATTCCAATGCATTAACTTTTTTTACTGGAGGATTTTGATATATAGTTTTTCTGTTTTTGGCTAGTAGCTAGTGGAAAAACAAAACTGCTTGTACTTAATTTGATTTTACAGTGTGATGAAAGACCTTCAGCATGTAATATGGACAAATAATTATCTAATTAACTGGAGTTAAAATGAAGTTAAATATTTCTCTTTTCCTATTCAAAGGCAGCATTCTCCTACCTAGGATAACATTCCCCAAAATGTATTTTGGTTGCCAGACATTATATATATAACTGGTTCTGAAGTCAAATAAATTTGGAAATTCTTGGCTTAGTCAAGTAAACTTTTTTTTTTTTTTTTTGAAGAGGTTTTTGCTATAGGGCGCGTGGGCTCGCCAGAGAAACAGAGAGAGACAGAGAGACAGAGAGACAGAAAGCGAGAAATCACCCCCCAGGGGGGATGGCCACACCGCAATCCCTTCTCCAATCTCCTCTCGGGATCTTGGGCACATGCGCACACGCGCCTGGCTTGAGTTTTAAGCTGCCGGGTCCAGGACGCGAACCATGGTCGACTACATGGGAGTCCAGCGACATAGCCATTACGCTAACTGCTGGTCCCCCAGCCAAGTAAACTCTTTATTGCCAGATTTCTCAGAACTTTGCTTATTGTAGCCTGCACTAAAAAATCACTATGGGGGAAGGCAGCAGGTGGCGTAGTGTTTATGTTGCTGAACTCCCACATGGGTGAACATGGTTCAGTCCAGGGCCTTGAAACTCATGCTGGGTGCACATGCATGCATGCCCAAGATCCCAGGAAGAGAACAGAGGAGAAAGGATTGAAGCATGGCCATCCCCACTAGGGGGTGATTTCTCACTTTCCCTCTCACTGTCATCTCTCTGTCTCTCTCTCTGGCAAGTGCATACAACGTATGGCAAAACCTCTAAAAACAAAACAAAATACATACACACCACAAGGGAATCAAGTACACAGTCAAACGTATTCAGTCTCAGAACAAATATTTTCATATATTACCCTTTAGCTTATGGATGCATCTAGAACATTGAGAGTAACAGAAAAAAAGCAATGAAATTCAGATTTAGACATTAGCATAATATTATTTGGAAAGCATTAGAAATTTAAAGTAAATTTAATTTTCCCAGGTGTTTCTAGGTAGCTAGGGACATGAAAAAGAGGAACGTTTGAAAAAAGCAATGTTTGAAAGATACTGAAATAATTATCAGCTTAATTACTTTTAATTACCTTAGTTACTAAATTCATTGGACATGATTATGTCATAGTAATTATGCTTTCAAGTTGTTTCTATAAGGAGAGCAACATGCAGGTAAAATGAGACGTAAGATCTGGGGTTAGCTTTAAAATCGTACAGCAATAAATAAGTAAATAATTTCATAGAGAGATATAGAGAAATAAAATAAGATTGACTTGTGTCAATAGTTATTGGAAGCATGGGATTCCAGTACTCAATTCTCATTACTCGAATTAATTTTTGAGAATTTACATTTAAAAATAAAACAGGCCAGTCATGGTGCAGCAGTAGCACCAAAGCTCTGTAGCACAGGAAGATCAGGGTTCAGGCTGACCCCATGCTACTCACGTGCTCGTGATCCTGGCTGGCAGGAAGGCTGGGGTGGGAAGATCACGGGATGAGACCTATTTAGGGTGTTTCTTTCTCACTCTGTCACACGCTCATGGAATATATCAATGAACTTAAAATAAAAAATCCTAGAATCTTGTTGGACATTTAATGTCTGATTCTCTTGCAGGTCAGTCACCCCCGGATTCAAGAGAGCATGCCCTCAATATTAGTTAAGCCTAACACTGAAAGTAAAAATATGAGGGAAAGAAAATGTATACCTTATGTACAAAAAAGCTGATACGGTTATATTAATATTCAACAAAGTAGACTTCAAGGCAAGAAGTATTGGGTCATCAGAAAAGTCATGATGTATTTTTCTGTTTTTCTATGCAAAAATGCCTCATGACTTTTCCAAAAACTTAATATAACCCAATAGGAGCACGGCTGTTTATGATGATAAAAAGGATTATCAAGACCCTTTTTTCCATCAAGATGACATAATTTCAAATATGTAATATCTAATAACAGAATCTGAAATATCTTAAGCAAAAATTGGAAAAAAGAGAAGATATAAACAAATCAAGAGAATATAGAAGATATAAACAGCATTATCAATCAACTTGATCTGACTTTTTTTTTTTTTAAACATCAGGTAAATTCCATTCACCTAAGACTTCATTCTGTTAACATCATAGTCATTTTGAAACTCTGTTAACTTTGCCAGCATAGTGAGCCATCCTATGCTGATTTTCCCAGTGGACTTAAATTCTTCAGATGAATTAAGTCCATCTGAGAAGTTCTTTTCCCAAAGTCATCATGCCACACACCATGCCGTTCACCTACTTAGTGTGCATGCAACTCAGTGAGGTTTAGCATATTCAGAGCTGGCGACCCTCACTACCAGTGACACTACATTTCATTACCCCACAACCCTAACTGATCACCCTCCAAGTTCCCAACGCCATTGCCCACAAACTGAGGCAACTGCTAATCTTCTTCCTGTCTCTACAGATTTACATTCTGGAAATTTTATACAAATAGAATGAAAGAAGATATGATCTTTTGTAACTGGCTTATTTCTTTAAGAGAGATTTTTACTATAGGGCACATGTGCTTGCTGGAAAGACAGACAGAGAAAATGAAAAATCACCCCTCAGGAGGAAAGGCCACACCACAGTCCCTTCTTCTCCATTCTCCTCTCAGGATTTTGGGCATGCATGCACATGCGGTTGGTGTGAGTTTTAGGCTGCCAGGTCTGAGACTCAAACTGTGGTCGACTAGGTAGGAGTCCAGCAACACAACCATTACTCCTGCTGGTCCCCTGCTCATTTCTCTTAAAACACTTTTTTCAAGGTTCATCCATGTTGTAATATGCATTGATCCTTCATTCCTTTTTATTGCATAATAATATTTCAGTTTTTTAGAAAAACCACGTATGATTTATCCACTCATAAGCTGATGGACATCTGGGTTGTTTCCACTTTTTGGCTGCCATGCTACTATGCATATTTATGTGCAAGATTCTGTGTAGACATGCTTTCATTTCTGGTGGGCATATAAATAGGAGACAGATTACTGAGTGATGTGCTTACTGTTTAATCATTTGAAGAATATTTTCTAAACCAACTACACTATTTTACATTCCCATCAGCAGTGTCTGAGAGTTCAAGTTCTCCACATGTAGGCCGACACGTTATAGCCTGTTTTTGTTTTTTAATTATAATCAGCTCAGTTGGATGTGAAATAAAATCTCACTGGGACTTTGACTTGCATTTTCCTGATGGGTAATGATGTCGAGTATCTTTTCACGTACTTGTCGGCAACTTATATGTCTCTCTGGAAATATGCCTCTTCAGATCCTTGGTCCATTTTTTGATTGGGTTGTCTTATTATTGAATTGTAGAAGTTCTTTACGAATTCCTTACAATAAGTATGATTTAGAGACCAGCAGATAATGTAGCAGTTACAATGCTGGGCTCCCACATGGCCGACCACAACTCAAGTCTCAGACCTGGTGGCTTGAAAATCACGCTGGGCACATGTGCATGTGTGCTCAAGGTCCCAGGAGGAAAATGGAAGAGAAGGGATTGCAGCATGACCATTCCCTCCAGAAGGATTATTTCTCATTTTCCCTCTCACTGCCTCTCTCTCTCTGGCAAGTACACACACCCTAAGGAAAAAAACCTCCTAAAAAAAAAAAAAGTACGTTTTATAAATATCTTCCCCCATCTTATGAATTTTCATTTTTTTATACTGTCCTTTAAAATATATTTTTATTTTCATGTACTCCAATTTATCAATTATGTTCTTCCTTTGTGCTCCTGGTGTCATATCTAAGAAGTCACTGCCTAATCCAAGGTTAAGAAGCCTACACCTTTGCTTTCCTCTAAGGGTTTTAGTTTTACCTCTTCTATCTATGTTCTGGTCCATTTTGAGTTAGTTTTTGTATGTGCTGTGAGGATACAATTTCATTCTCTTGCATGGGGATGTGCACAAATTGACACAGAGCACTATGCTCCACATTTGCAGAATACACTTTGTTTTTGATGGTACACGGAGTATCCTCAAGAATAAATTATATACTAGGATATAAAACAAGTCTTGATATATTTTAGAAGACTGACCTAATGCAGAGTATTAAAATTAGAAATTAGTAACAGTAAAGTATCTAGAAAATACCTCCAATATAGCTTCAAGTACTTATCTTAGAAAAGCAAAAAAAAAAGAAAAGAAAAAAGAAAATCTAAGTCTCTACTTTAAGAAAATGGAGCAAATTAAACCCAAAGTAATAGCACAAGTAATACTATCTATAATTGTATGCTAGGAGATACACAGATTAGTAAAAGATTATCCCAAACAGTTAACTGTTATGTTGGGCTGATGAAATAAAAATTGTATTTTACTTTTATATACATTTTGATATTTAAATCTTTTTCTTGTTTGATCATATGCTACTTTTATACTAAGAACTTTAAAGTAATATAGAATGAAATACCAAGCATGTGTCATATTAAGACTGTGAAAATAGTCATATTAACAAGTTCCAGAAAGAAGAGAGAATTTCCCAATTAAAAGGGACTTAAGACACATATGAACTATGTATATGGAATAACAAAACACAAATTTGTTTTGTATGGTTTTCTTACTCATATTATATTCTACATTTTTAAGGGTTTCTTTTTTTTAAGTAATATTATGCCAAAAGACTTTTGTAAGTTGAACTTTAAACACTGATTTAACCCAAGTCATTTCAAAAATCTGGAGACCATCCTCTAACATACATTTCTGGATACATGGATATCGACAATTTAATAAACATAGATTTCTAGTTGCCTTTTTTCCTTTTTTCCTCCTAAATTAGTCAGAGGGCAAATTCACTTACCAGAAAACATGAAAAAGTGGAGAAAAAAAAAAAAAAACAACCCTCTCATGGGGTATGGTCACACCACAATCCCTTCTCTCTTTCTCCCTCCTTTCCGGATTCTGGGCACACACGCACAAGCACCTGGCCTGTTCTTCAAGTGGCCATGTCCAAGATCCAAACTGTGCAGTTGGCCACATGGGATCCAGCCATCTTAACCACAATACCATGGGCTGGCCTGACTTCTGGTTGCTTTCTAATGTTGCTATTAACTCCAATAAGAACTAAACTTGGAAAAATAGTATGTTATCCAAGCTTAAAACTCCACGTTTTTAGAAGGCAGACAGTGGCACGGGAGTCAACTGCAACACTGTGGGGCTGACTCATACGAGAAGGTTCCAGACTTGTGTCCAGAGACATCCTTGAATACACTGGGCCCTCACATGCCCCGAGCCAGGGCTGGCTCAAACTGGGGAGGACTGCAGCTTTGGGATCTTATTGGGGATGCTGTCTTGTCTCATGCATGAAAGCAACATAAACGCAAAAGCTGTAAGCCACAAAGTTGGAGAATCTCACTGATAGGCAATAAATAGCTTAGTGGCCACTCTGTCCTATAATTATACAATTACATTTAAAATCATACTGTTTATATACTGCTATTAACAACTGGCTGACTTTTACTTGAAAATAACCTACAAAGGAGAATTAGCACAGCCTTCCTCAAATTATTTGGACATGTAAGCAAAGGAAAAATACTCTAACCAGCAAATGGGAAGCCACTGAAATGTTCAAGTGCTCACATCTTTAGCTCCAACACAGTAGTTGATCAGTATATCCAAGAAGCCCAGTTATATTACTATTTCAATTTCACCACCATTGCTGAATATATTTGGGAACTCCTATTATGAAAGTTCCTCAAAATCTACATCACTTTTTGAATATGCTGAAGCATGATTCTTCTTAGAATCACAAAATACCAATGTCATTGTAAAGGATGGTCAATGCACCTTCCCATCTAGAAGCAAGGCAGCCTACATCGACAGAGGTTTGTCCCTCATGACGGAATATGGTCTTTGGAAACAGCTAAGCCAGTGTTCCACACATGGTGAAGACACTGATTCACTCACTCCGTGAGCACGTGTTGGCAGCAGCTGCAAGGCCGGCCACCGCGCTGAGCAGTTAGCACAGAGGGGAGTGAGACCTGGAGCTTCCACCTGGGAGCACTCACAGCTCTGCTGCAGGGAAGGGCAGCGGGCTGCAGAGAACTGCGCACGCTCGGCACCGTGGGGGCCACGGGACAGACATGCTCAGCTGTTGTGAGAGCACCCAGGGGGACCTGCCGGCCCCAGCCTGGGAGTCTGGGAAGCAGTGACAACTGAGGAGGCTGAAGGAATGAGCAGCACATAGCCAGGAAGAAGAGAATGGGAACATAGGCATCCTCTGTCACTTCCAGAGGATGCTTTTGTTCCAGAGATGCAGCAGGGCACATTCAAGGAATGGTGGCCATCAGACATGGCTAGCATGGCGTGTGTGTGTGCGCATGCACGCATGCCACACGTGTACACACCTGTATATACACTAAAAACAAGACGAGATGTGGCTGCAGAGGTCAGAGGTTCTGAATACTAGGTTAAGGAGTTTAGTGCCCTGAGAAGGGATGGAAAAATGGGAACTTTAATGAGATAGTAGGAATGGAGACAAGTCAATCAATGCGTGAGACGTGAAGGGGACAGAACTGGCAGGAGTTGATGTGAGGGGAAAGGGAGGTAAGAAGGAAGAAAAGGAATGAAAACATGGTAAAGGAAAATGGAGGGAAGGAGGGTGGAAAGAGTTCAGAAACACGTCTAGGATTTTTCCATGCTGGCTGAGAGGCTGCTGAGATGGAAAACACAGGGTAAGAGATCATTGGACAAGAGAATGCAAGGAGTTACGCTCCCTTCAGACACATGGAAATTGGAGTGCCAGGAAAATCCAGTTAGATCTAGAAGGCAAGCAGCTATAGGAATCTGGAGCTCAAGAAGGAAACCTATGCTAGAAATAAAGATATGGTCACCGTGGCAAACAGCGGCTGCCTTGAGAACCCAGCTGCACCCAGCTCAGACAGGGAGATGGAGAGGGACTGAGGTCTTCCAGCAGAGTGGGGGCAGGTGCAAACTAGGGGCCAAGGACAAAATGCAATGGAACAGCGACATTTACAGGAAGAGGAGGAGAGGGTGCAGAGCCTGGAAAGGAGCGGTCGGTCTAAGTAGTGCAGGAAGGGGACAGGGAGTTGTGCATGGATACCCTCATACCTACCTACACACACACACACACACACACACACACACAGAGAGAGAGAGAGAGAGAGAGAGAAAGAGAGAAAGAGAGAGAGAGAGAGAAGATTTGGAAATTGGGAGACAGATGGTACCATTCTACATTTCTGAATGCAATGTGATATTCTGGATGGGCTCCTGGAAGGGAAAAAGGACATTAGCGGGGAGGCAGGAAAGCCAATAAAGGCCGTGGTCTAGCTAGTGCTGTGCCGCATCCGTTTCTCAGTTTGGATCAAGGTGCCACAGGTTTTTTTTTTTTTTTTTTTTT